AGAGGAGAGAGAGAGGAGAGAGAGGAGAGAGAGAGAGAGAGAGAGAGAGAGAGACGAGAGGAGAGAGAGAGAGAGAGAGAGAGAGAGAGAGAGAGAGAGAGAGAGAGAGAGAGAGAGAGAGAGAGAGAGAGAGAGAGAGAGAGAGAGAGAGAGAGAGAGAGAGAGAGAAGAGAGAAGAGAGAGAGAGAGAGAGAGAGAGAAGAAGAGAGAAGAAAGAGAGGAGAGAGAAGAGAGAAAAAAAGCAGAGAGAGTGGACCTAGAATGTGCTTTAACCTAGGTGCACTTTCATTGGTCCCTTTGCATGCACATAAGAGAGAGGTCATGGTCTTTGTGGATCATGACTAGGGTCTAGGGCTTAGGTGTATGGTTTAGATAGGTTACGTCGGGGTGTGGTGTTCGAGAATTAGGGTATATAGGGTAGGCTAAAGTTCAAGAGACACTTTGGTATATGGTGTAGGGTGTATGGTGTAGGCTAGGGTGTAGGCAAGCTAAAGTGGGGTGTAGGGTGTATGGGTTAGGACTAGGAGTTAGGGGTTCTAAGGGTGTATGGAAGCTAAGAATCCTAGGGAATATGTGTATGGTTCTAGGGGTATTCTCTCAAGGAAATGTTTCTATCTCCTCTCATTTGAACCTTGAACTTGAAAACAAAATAAAAGAACAAGCTAAGAATTCAAGAACTTCACTCTAAAATGCTTAAGAATTTGATTGCAAATGACCAAGTGTTTAAGAGTTCAAGAGCGCCATTACAATTGACTTGGGTTTCCTTATATAGAGCAACCACTAAATAATAGTGGAATGCTCAAAAACACCCAAAATTATCAAAAAAAATACACATTTTATGAATTAAAATACTAATCCCGTTTTTTGACCGAATGACTAAAATACTTCTAAGCATTTTTCAACAAATGACAACTACAGCTCTCCATGAGGGGCTTCTTGTCATTGCTAGGCCTTGGGAGCTTTTTTGGGTGTCTACGGTGGTAATTTGGGTGATCAATCATCATAGAATCGATGTTTGAACCATTGTACATGTTTTGATACCCTTTGATCGTCTTAAAGCAGATTTTTAAGGAAGAACCCAAACTCGGGCCAAGTCAATTTGGTACGATCTATAACATTCCAAGCCTTCATTTTGATCACAAATTGAAGAGAGCGCTATCACAATCATTTTACAATAAATTTTGTCCATTTTGATCTTCGTTTGAGCACGTTCCAATTTTGGGAAGTCACCCGAAAATTGGATTCTGACAACTGGAAAAGTATGACATTTTCGACCTTAAAATTTGTGTCATCTAGCCTTCGATCATACATAAAAATTATATAAAATTGTAGCTATTCGAAGCACGGCCGCAACGAACCCATACTTGCAACGATCCGTCATCGAGATCTTGAGCTATGGCATCTCAAAGAATTGGATGTTCTTCTTTATAAAATCTGAATTTTCATGTTTTGAGCCCATCATCTATTTAGAAATTCTCTTGTTTTGGGCCACGTCATGATGTGTGCCACATGTCAAAATGATCGGTCGTCGAGATTTAGCTCGTGTCTAAATTTGAGCTTACTTGCAATCAAAATAAGTGAGTTATGAGCATTTGAAAATCATCTCGAAATGAGAAAACATAGTTTCCATAAATGGAAACTAGTTCACTAAGGCTGCACCGCAATAGTGTACAACCCACTTTTTTATGGTAAGTTAGGCCCATAATAGTCCCGGAGGGTCCGATTGAGCCAAAATTTGGTACATGTGAGTTTCTCAATGTTTCAGATCCAACAGCGGTAGTCTAGTACCTTTTTAAGACCCAAAAATAGGGCTATAGTTATATGGTCTTTTTTCAGCATGATAGGAACTAGATTTGAAAACTAAGTTTCATCCTGATAATATCAAAACTTGTCAGAATGCGACAAAACTTTATAGGTATCCTTGGGGTATCCAAAACTACGCTCCCATGCAATTTAAGGTCATTCTGACACTTCTTCAAAGGTCTAACGGCGTATTGGGCACCAACAAGACAAGGTTACCACCGGTTCTCTCCTTACTCGCCTCGAGGATACAAGTACATCAAAAATGATGTATAACAGTGTCTACATAACTATACTTTTAATAGAGCAGAATAAAAGACTAGAATTTATGTAGCCAACCCCAACTAAGTTAGGAAAAGGCTTAGTGGATGATGATCATCATCATCATTATATAATTATAATAAATTAGAATAAGATGTCATTCTAATCGTTATCATAAACAAAGTAAAATTATGATCTAAATAGATTAGATAATCATAATTAGATTAATAATATTTAAAATTATGATCTATATAGATTAGATAATCATAAATAGATTAATAATATTTATTATAATATTGAATATTATTTGCTTATGTTATAACTTTGCCACAAAGTAAATTCTATGTAGAATCCATGCAGAGTGAATTATTTAGGAATATATACTCTGTACATCTATGACAGCGACAAAAATATGTCCCCAAAAAAAAAAAAGCACACATATTACAGATAATTATAATTTTATCATTAATATACATAATTAAGTTTATGTTATACACAAAAAAATTTATCCAAAATATCAAATTCACACATATTATAGACAATTATAATTTATCATTAATATACATAATTAAGTTTATGTTATACCTAAAAAAATTCTATCAAAAATAAATGAACTCCAAAATATCAAATTCATAATTTGATACGTGGAATTAAATAAAAAAGTTACAGAGTTAATACTTACATGTGATTTAAAAAAATGAATACCCTCCTATATAGGGATCTAAAATTGCTAAAAAATCTACATGTAAAAAATACAAATTGACATTCAATTATTGGCCATATTTACCCAATTTTCATACTATCCAAATATAATAAAATAAATATTGAACCTTTTTTTCCAAATAAAAGGTCAATGCCACAAATTATACAAGCCCAACAATATACTTCTTCATTTTGAACCCAATAAAAAATAATTTTATTAATTCAATAAATAAAAGTACTATAAGGTTAAATGGCTAATAACGTAAAATTACGATACTAAATAGATTATCATAATTAGATTAATAATATTTACTATAATATTGTATATTATTTTCTTATGTTATAACTTTGTCGTAGAGTGAATTATATGTAGGAATACATACTCTGCATATCTGTGATAACGACAAAAATCTGTCAACAAAAAAAAAAAAGCACACATGTTATAGATAATAATGCTTTTATTATTAATATAGGTAACTAAGATTATGTTATACACAAAACAATTCCATACAAAATAAATGAACACCAAATATCTATCAAATTTGTAATCTGATGGGTGGAATTAAATAAAATAAATAAATAATAAATACTTATATGTGAATTTAGAAAAATGAGACTTTAAAAAATACATTATGTTTCCCCTGCAAATCACATTATCAAATAATAGAAATATCACAATAAATCAAAGCAAAACCCTCAAATTTTTAAGACAATAATTCAATACTATAGTATATAGAGATCTAACATTGCTAAAAAGTATGCATGCAAAAAATAAAAATTGACTTCTCAATTGATTATTAGCCCCATTTTACTTAATTATTCATGCCATCCAAAAAAAAAACGAAAAACAATACTGAGCCCCTTTTTCTAAATAAAATGTCAAAAAAATTATTAATTCAATAAATAAAAGTATTATTAAGTTAAATGGTAAATGATATAAATAACTGCAGTACCTATCGTTTTGATGCTATGAAAAATTTGCCAGTGTCAAAATCGCTATGGTTATCCGATTGTTTTGGTATTCAGGTACAAATTATGTTGAAAATAATTTGGCGAATTTATATTAGGTAAAATCATAAAGAAATAATATATATATATATATATATATATAGGGAAAAGGATTCGGTACGCCAGCCCATGCATAGGGTTTGGTACGCCAATGGTGATCTACCATTTTCTCTCGATGGAATTCTCACACTCCCCAACTCGCCCTCAAGCTACAGCAGCCACTCTGACATTTGAATAGGGCTTGACGGCTTATGTTGGCAAGTCTCTCTTTCTCCCTCTCTCCATTTCCCACCGCCCTCTCCCTCTACCGAAACTTGGCCCTCTCTCTCTATCCTGATGTCTCATGATGACAACTCTCTCTATCTCTTCCTCTCTCTCGCTCCTGCTGTCTCTCCCAAATCATGTTGGCAACTCTCTCTCTTCTCAATCTCTGACTGCTGCCCCTCTCTCTCCACCCAAACTCCATCTTCTCCCCTCTCTCTCTCCACCCAAACTCCATCTTCTCCCCTCTCTCTCTCCACCAAACTATCTCGCGCTCTCTAAATCTCTAACGCTGCTGCTCCATTGCTGCTGCAAACCTCTCTCAGACTATTGGGGCAACCAAACCATCTCACCCCTCACTCAATCTCCCTCTCTCAATCTCTCTCGTTCCTGCCCCATTGTTGCTGCAAAATTGCTACTGCTCCATTGCTCGATTGGGGCAATCTTCGAGATTTAAGGTGCATCCAAGGTTTGCTACTGCAAAATTGATGCTGCTCCATTGCTTGATTAGCGCAATCTTCGGGATTTGAGGTGCATCCAAGTTTTGCTGCTGCTCCATTGCTTAATTGGGGCAAATTTCGGGATTTGAAGTGCATCCAAAGTTTGCTGCTGCTCCATTGCTGGATTGGGGCAATCTTCGGGATTTGAAGTGCATCTAAGGTTCAGGTATGCATCTTTGCCCCATTACTGATTGATTGAAACTGTGGGCAATGAAGTGCAGCATTGTTTTATCGCTCAAATAGTATTCCACCATGACATTGTGGATAATAGAGTTCTATGTGAATGTATTATTGTTTATGTTAGAAGAATTCATTAGTTTCTGGATTGAATAGGATGTGAGATGTATCTGAGATGATACATGAACATGGAGAAAGATGGGGTTGGGTTAATTTGATTGCTTGACATATCTGAAACCAAATGATCCTATTTGTGCCTAACTTGGAAAAACTCATATAGTCAAGTGTTTGTCTATGTGTTGTATGTGTGTGCGTGCTAGTTGGTGTGGGGTACATATCGATGAATGTGCCCCTTGTTATGTTATTTTTAGAGATGGAAATTCTTGAAAAAATATTATTGTAGAGAACATATGAATGCAGGTTCATGGGGTTTTACTGAAAATGCCATCCAGTTTGTTGCTTAAATATGAATGTACTTAATGTTGTGACTTACAATACATCATACTTATAAAATGGCCTGTAATCAAACCAAAAATACTAACTGCATTCCCCTTCTCTAACACGTTTTCTAATATTCTTTATCCTAACTGTGTCCCTGCATTTACTATAACATCACTTTTGTAGAGGCTAGTCTTTGATCCTTTGCCCTGATTCTTTCATTTATGAATTTAGAACATTCATAATGAGTACATGCATAGGTGACATTCTTTTTTTATCATGGTTACTTTTACCTAGATTTAATCGGCCTTTTTATTATTCAAAAAAGCACATACGAGATGCTTTAATGAAAATGCAGGACTTAGACAAGACTGAACTTATGCACATAAATTTCGATTATGTGTTCCTTGAAAAACCTTTCCCATACAGTCCTTCCACCAACTATGCATTTCCCTCATCAATATGAACACATGCATGAGTTTTCTGCTACATCCAAGTATCATAAATTGAATTGGCGCCTTAGTTGCTCATCTTTTTTATCTATTACTAGGCTAAAAAGGCAATTAAAGCTGTTGAAAGTCGATTAGATAGTCCAACAAGATATCAAAAAACGTTGTAGAGTATTGACTCATCTTACTTTATTGTTTGTTTGGTTAAGAACATTTTTAAAACTTCCATAAACAATCTATTATGGTTATTCTTTTGTGATGTTTGTCTATATAGTGTTTTGATAGAACCACTCAATAGATTTTTGCAGACATCTACTTAGGTGGTTTGGTTTTTTATGTAGGGTCAGTTGAAAGATTTTTATGGACCCCACCATATCAGTCGGTGTGACATCTTCCCGGTGCCCAACTGTAGACAGCACGAATGATACCATGGAGCTGGAGCAGGTTCCTTATCTTACAGAAATGAGAGACGGGGAACATGGCTCATCAACTAAGGGCCTACAAATAGAAGAACCATATATAGGGATAAAGTTTGGTTCTGAGAATGAAGCATATGAGTATTATAAGGAGTATGCATTAGCCAAAGGTTTTGGCATCCGTAAGGGGACAACCCACAATAAAGATGGTCAAAGGCTCAATTGTTCTAAGGAATGATTTCATCGAGAGAAAGATTGGGTAGGTAAAAAGGTACACCATGAATCAAGGTGTGGTTGTATAGCTAAGATGGGCCTAAGTAGAAATGCAAATAACGAGTGGGTTGCGACTAGGATTGCTAAAAAACACAGTCACTATCTTTTGTCTCTAAGAAAAGATCGTGTAATTCGCTCACATCCAAAAATGTCAGGCGCTGCAAAGTTGATGATAGGTTCAATGAGCTCGGCATTGGTGAAGGCCACAAATATTCATGGCATTTTCATAGAGCAATCTGGAGGGATTGATAATGTTTATTGTACAGAAAAAGACATCCAAAATGTAATCGCTAACTTTAGAAGAAAACTAAGAGGAGAAGATGGAAGTCTTGTTATGCAATGGCTTTATAAAATGAAGGAATTGAACCCATCTTTTTTTTATAGAATGAAATTAGATGAAGCCAATCACATCTTGAGCGTCTTATGGGTAGACGCATTTTCTAGAGTTTCATACCAGTGCTTCTCTGATGTGGTAACTTTTGATACGACATACAAAACAAACACATATGGTATGCCATTTGCACCCATTCTTGGTGTAAATCACCATCACAGTACCACTCTCCTCGGATTTGCGCTCATTTTTTATGAGAAGGTTGAATCATTTGTATGGATATTTGAAAATTGGTTAGAAGCTATGGGGAGACGTCAACCTGGAGTTATTCTCACTAATTAAGACTCTGCAATTTCGAATGTAGTCAAACGAGTTTTAGATCAAAGTAAGCATCATTATTGTAAGTGGTGTATACTATCAAAGATTAATGAAAAAATGTGTCATGTCTTGCGTAGGCATCTAAATTTTTCAGAAACCTTCAGGAGGCGTGTGGCTAGTGCAACAGTGGAAGAATTTGAATTGGGGTGGAAAGATATGATTGAGAATTATGGGCTGGAAAGTAATGAGTGGCGTACTAGACTCTATAGTTGTCACATGCAAGGGGTTGATACGTATTTGAGTGACGACTTCCACTCAAAGGAGTGAAGGGATGAATAAGAACTTCAAAGGTGACTGTAAAGGTGCAAGGTAAGAAGTGACTGTAAAGGTGCAAGATAAGAAGGTGCGAAAGGACAAGGAAAATGACTTAAGAGACATTAATACTACTCCAATATTAAGAACAACTTCTTTTATTGAGGCCCAGGTAGCAAAGATCTATACTTAAAAGATTATGAAGCTATTTGGGGAAGAGGTGGTGAATTGTATTAATTTCATGAGCGAGTCAATTGAGGACAGTGGATTGCTTGCCACTTTTAAGGTATCAATACTAAGAAGTGATTCCAAACCCTACCTGTGGAATTCAATTCCAATGACAAGAGCGTTTGTTGCAGTTGTCATTTATATGAGAGGATGGGTCTTCTTTGTAGGCATGTGTTGAAGGTTTTTGTAGTGAAGAATGTATTCGAAATACCCCCATAATATATAATGAGGCATTGGACAAAAGATATAACAAATGGGGTTTTTATCAATGAGAGTGGCAATCAAATTCAAGAAGCATCTCGACTACAACGCTCCATTCGATATAATTAGGTATATCAGGCAACTCGATACCTCGCCGAGCATGCTTCAGAGAGTGCAGAGCTCCATTAATTTATAATGGCCATAATACACGATAGAATTTGTCAGGTTGATAGCCAATTCAAGCATAAGGGAGGTCAGCAGAATGACGCCACAATCAATTGTAATGCTGAAGAGAATGGTAATGTTGAAGCAAATGCTAATATTGATGAGAATGCAGCTAGTTGTAGTGACACACCAAGTGCAAGTGACTATTGCCAAAATATTCTTGAGCCTTCATGTGCACGGACAAAGGGAAGACCTACCGATAAAAGAAAGAAAGCTTGATTAGAAGGGTGGAAGCCGAAGGAAAATACTAAGAAGCCGAAGGAAAATACCAAAAAGCCAAACGAAAATACTAGAAAGTGTGCAGTTTGAAAGGGCATTGGGCACGACAAAAGAAATTGTTTGTCATTCATTCGTGCAAAGCATACCATTAGTATCTCTTGCATTTTGATTATACAAGCTTCTTAATTCTGGTTGTAGTAGAGCTTACTTATAATTGTCGAACTTTTAAATGTAATATAAAATGCTAACAGTGCAAATTGTCTTCCATCTTCAGGGCTGCTGACAAAATGTGCCGTATGGAACGGTCTGTTAGGAATGCTGAAGAAAACCATTGGTCATAAGGAGCACCATGAATTGTAGTGATTGCTTGCTTTATTTTTGAAGCACCTGTAAATTGTTTGCTTGTTTGTAGTGATTGCTTGCGTACAAAACTGGGTTCTTTTCCTGTCTTGTATGGCTACCTTTTATTGATAAACCCTTTAATTTTTAAAGCACCTGTAAATTGTTTGCTTGTTGTAGTGATTGCTTGCTTGTTATATAGTGATTGATTGTAGGGATTGGTTTTGATGTTGTGAATATTGCTAAACAAGATGGTCATATCGGAGTGGGTAATTTTGAACTTGGTCTTGGATACATGCCATTGGATAGCATCTGGATACAACCCAGGTTTGGTGTTCCCACTGTTTGGACTAGTAATCACACTGTTTGGATATCCTGTCTTGTATGCTACCTTCTATGGTCCAGACTATCATACTTTGTCCATCTACACCCTTTAATTTTCCTGTCTTGTATAGCTACCTTTTATTGGATACAACCCAGGTTTAATGTTTGAATTTGTCAATGATTGCTTGTTATTGATTGCACAATTTATAGAACATGAATATGATTGTTGAAATACAATGTGGCTTTGTGAATTAGGTTGGGTGCAACAAAGTTATCTAAAATTGGTGGAAAGCAACAAGCTGATCTTCGTTGATGCATACAACAAGAGCAGATGGTTCTCAACCATCTCAGGGAACACTAGGGAGAAACTTGTTATTGCGAATTCAAGATTTCTATTTTAGCTTTTTCAATTTGCTATTGCAGACTCAAGATGTCTATTTTGGTTATTTGAATTTGCTGTTGCAGACTCAAGATGTCTATTGTGGCTTTTTAAATTTGCTGCTATGGACTCAAGATGTTTATTTTGCCTTTTTTTGTTGTATGCGCTTTAGAAAAGAACATTATAGAATATATGTTCATTGTGTGGGTACATGTTTCTAGATATGTCGGCATCATGGGCACCTAGAAAGGAAAGAAATGAAGATATCGCACTTGTCATATTCGGGATCAAATGTTTCCCTTCACTGTGACTTTAATTTCAGTATTGCAATGTATCTTGCCTATAAAATTGATGTTCTTTCGTATAACAATCAAATTTGTGCAATGTTCATATGTGCACCTCACGTTTACTTTGCAAGTGTTGAGTTGCAAGAGTGCTTTTTCTCCATAAAATTTTTGTCCATTCAAATGCCATTCACATTCATACAATGATAATTGAATTGTCGTCCAAATGCTCCCTATGCTTGGGGAGTGCATTGCATGGCTTCTGGCATATGTATTGAAGCATTTTAAAGGAAGAAAACTGATTATTATGAAACATCGGCGCCCATTCTAAGATTTCTTGTATTAAGTATCAATGCATTCAGTTAGGAAATAATGGATGTTGCAACATGTATTAAGTATCAATGCATTCAGTTAGGAAATAATGGATGTTGCAACATGCAATGAGAATTGATTATAAGAATTGTCATGTATGTCTCTTTTAGACAAAGACGTTTCTTAAGTTGGCATACCGCATTTGATCTCTATTGTTGGATGGATGGACCAAATTTTGGAAACGTGCCTGTTATTCTTCCACCCCTCAATTAAGAGAGAGAAAAGGCATATTTGATTGATAATAACTACAATTGTAATAATATTTTTTAACCTATTAACCATATTACAATATATCACCAAACAAGAAAGTGTTATATGAAAAACTGAATTACATTTGTAATGATACCATGAAACAAATACCCATTCCATTCAAAAGAAAAAGAATGGTGAGCATCAACAGTAAAAGAACAATTGCGCATACAATAATAAATTTTACAACGACTACTTTCTCAAGAACCATAGCAACAACTTTGGTCTTCTCTTCTTCATATAGAGCAGGATGTACTCCAATAGTGACACAAACATCTGGCCTAACAAACATCTGGCCTCTGTGACACGAACCTTCTAACTATGGGTTTTCTAGCTTGGCCTAGTATCTCGTGACACAAACATCTGGCCTCACAAACATCTGGCCTCTGTGACACGAACCTTCTGACCATGGGTTTTCTAGCTTAGCCTAGTATCTCGTCACACCACACTAGATAGCCGCATCCCACTTCATTCTAGTGGTTAACACAAACATATAAAAGGTTTTAAGTTTGTGCATACAATTGAACAATAATATGATTTTACATTATTTTCATGAATCAATGTCACATAACTTCCAGTTGGAGCATTTGTAGAAAGGCTTATTGTAGTTATCTCGTGTTTTTGCGATAAAGACGTGCATTTGACCACATTGTGGTCTGCGTTTACAAAATAATAGTGGGAATTGGTTGTCGAGATTTATTCTGCATAGAAGTGACATGAGAACTATAAAGAACTTCATCATTAACATTCTAAAAAAAACCAAAATACTATGTAGAACTTCATCACAACCATGTGAAACACAAACAATTAAATTCATTATGTAAAATTATGATGTTACACTTTACAATGTAAAATTATGATGTTACAATGTCAATTTATGATGTGTGGACACAGCAAAAAACGGGTGCATGTGTTCATAATAGATATAGATTATTCAAGTCTAATTCTCTATCTCAAGCTCTTATGCATTCGACTAGTAACAAGTATACATATGTTCTTCAGAACCCAGAAATACTGCTTTACTTGAAAGATCATAAATGAAAGTTATTTTTTTTGCGTTTTTAAATTGCCTGTGGTAGATATAGCTGCTATCCAAGCAGCAAACTCAAATCTCTACTTCAAAGGGCACCTTATATGGAAATTACCAAATTTTGGTGAGTGCAACTCGAGACACACATAAAAGAATTGTATGAATGACAGAAAACACCTTGGCATAGTACGTGCAGGTTGCATGTAAATTTTCCAAAAAATTGTAAGTTAAGTTGTTATTAACCAGCTGATGACAAAATGACTATTTCGTCACAAAGTAGAACAGAACAAAAAAATCATAATCAGTTTATAGGTCATGAAACTTAAAGATATCAAAAACCTTTAAGATATGGAAGTCAATTGTAAACTTCAAAGCCAAGTAATCTCCGCTAAGTATGATTGGGTGAGATAGGCTTATGATGAGTATGATTGCATAAATGTGCAGTACGTTACAAGAGAAACTGGGAAGAAAAAGAAACCTACCCACAGATACCCGTTGAGATTTTCATGAAAAATAGTACGATGAGAATGAGACAACAATACAAATTAGAGAAGTAGAACCTATATCTCTTAAAATTTTCTTTAAGTTAGGAAAAGAAACCTGATATAACCACGAGACTGCTTAACTCTTAGGAAGTGGGTGGGGAAGGAAGGTAAAACAAATGCCACTAAAGGAAGAGACGACCTTGAAACCAATACCTCCACATACCATGCCCAAATAAAATAGGAAACTTGTTTTATTATATTGAAAACGAATAAGCACAGAGACAATGAAAACCCCCAAAACTCAAAACAAAAGATTGATATCACCTGTAAAAATCAAAATAATGCACTAACACAGTATCCTAAAAAATAAAGATTAAAAGAAAGCACTAAAACAGATTCAAAGATATCCTAAAAACATAAAGAAATTGAAACAGTAATAGGAAAGATTCAAAGATAGAATATCTGAACCTCGGATGAGCCTCAAATCTACTGAAGATTGCCCCAATCGTCTTTGCAGTAGCAATGGAGCACAAATTTTTTTTGAAATTTCAGAAATTTTCCGTGTTTTAGGTTGTATTTTTAGAGAGAGAGAGAGAGGGGCATAGAGGGAGATTGAGAGAGAGGGGACCCAAAAAGAACTTGATGGAGGTTAATGCAGAGGAGTCACAAAGGTTTGTTAATCATAAACTTCATGCAAACTGCCTAAATCTTGGTGTGGTCTCAAGAAGGTACCAATAAATACAGGCTATGCTTGTCACTTAGCCATTGTCATTTCTTTCACATTGAGAAGAAGCATAGGGATGGTTTTGGTTTCCTTAGTGACTTCAGCACCTCAGATGGTTTTGGTTTCCTTAATCGTTTTCATCAAAATTGATGGTTTTGGTTTTCGTAGTCGATTTCATCAAAATTGAGTGCATAGTGCCTGCAAATTTACTTGGGAGACCTGGAAAGTTTGTCAAATAGAATTGGTGCTACTGTCTACAATTTTATCAGCTGTGCCAAGGCAGGTGGGAAATGTGTACTTCTATGTTTATTGATTTTGGTTAGGAATCCTATCACTTAACCTCTCAGTTCATTCTTGCGATTCATTGAAATTGTAATATATTAATGTGAACAGAATTTCTATGACCATAGTTTTGTTGCTCTGTATCCATTTACAGTAACACATTCAACGACTGAAAAACCAAAACCACCAAAATTTAAAATGGGACAAACAAAATCAAAATGCAAAGATTAAGCGATAGCATACCTAAACCTCGGATGAACCTCAATGCACCAAAGATTGTCCCAATGTCTTTGCAGCAGCAGCAATTGAGCATAGAAAATTTATGAAATTTTGAGAAATTTTTCATGTTTTAGGTTGTATTTCAAGAGAGTGAGATGGGCATAGAGGGCGATTGAGAGCGAGGGGCAGCGAGAGATGTATAGAGAGGGGCGGAGAGGGGTAGGTGGGAGAGAGATTGAGAGAGAGGGGTGGGTATCAAAGAGATTGAGAGAGAGGGGTGGGTTTCAAAGAGATTGAGAGAGAGGGGCAGCAGGTCAGCGAGGGTTTGTGAGAGAGCGTCATCGAGGGTTTGAGAGAGAGGGGCCAGTCAGAGAGAGATTGAAAGAGAAGAGACTCATATGACATCGTATTGGAGCAATGGAGCGATAGGGGAGAGAAAGAGAGAGAGAGAGAGAGAGAGCCATCAAGTTTGGCTAGAGAGACAGAGGGTGGGAGAGTGGCAGCAGGAGAGAGAGAGGGGCGGAAGATGAAGAAGAGCGATAGAGACAGTTGCCGTCATAAGCCGTCAGGCCCTTTATAAAGGTCAGAGGTGTTGTTGTAGCTTGAGGGAGCGTTGGGGAGCATGAGGTTTCCATCGAGAGAAAACGGCAGATCACCACCGTTGGTGTATCGAATCCTTTTCATGTATATATATATTGAGTCGAGGCTCCAAACAATCAAATTGGAGTCTACCTCAAAATTTCACTAGAAGATGTTTTGATGCCCAAATATCCTCAAATTGATCATCTCAACATCAAGATGCATGAACAAGAGAAAAAAATGGATCTCAAGTTTCAGAAATAGCATATCTTGTAATGCATTTTTGGACTGTCAATTTTCAAAATTTTCAATTTTTCATAGATACACTCGGTATACACTATTTTTGAAGGTTTAAATTTTATAATTATATATGAAAATCTATTTTAAGGCTACCACAAAGATTTTCAGTATTGAAACCACAATTATCGGTACTATTTGAAGGTGCGTTTTACTTTGATAGTTTAGAGCCTCGACTCTATACAAACCTTCCAAACACTTGGCACCTATAATGAATAGCAATGTAGGTGGAATCCCAACCGTCAGATTTTTATTATGTGGTTCAGAATGCATATTATTATATGAATTTTAATATTTTTTCTAAAAATCATATTATAACGAAATTTTAGATGAATGTACTAAGGGCGTATAATTTAAAATATATATATAAAAAATATTGCCCAAAATATAAAATGACCTAAATACCCATGAAAAATGATGGGGGTAATTTGGTCATTTTAAATTATTGAAAATGATTTTTTTATTTTTTTATATGGTGGGCAATAGTGTTAGGTATATACACCCAAAATTTCATCTTAATCAGATTCATAGAAAAAAATTAAAATTAAAATAGTGATATGTATTTTGAACCACTCAATGAAGATCTGACGGTTGAGATTCCTTCTATATTACTATTCATTATAATTGCCGGTGTTTGTTAGCCTTTTATATATATA